TTTCCTTACTATGATGAATACAACCATGGATTATTCTTGCCCATATCTTGTACTTATTTGTCAAATCTCTGACTTTAGAAGATCCTCGCCCATTTGTAAAAATTTCTGCATAAACCTTTGACATTTCCATTATGTTACTAGAGATTCCAGTTACTCCAGTTCCTTCAAAACCTAGAAGTTTTCTGATTAGATTTTCAGTAATGGAGATTTCCTTACCCATCACGAATGGGAGGATGACCTTTGGAGAAGCAATTACGTGTATCCAAAATTCTTTAACAAGGTGTGGAAAAACTGGACCAACTAGACGTTCAAAGAAGTTTTCCCAACCTTAAAACTCAACAGTAGGAAGAAGATCAAAACCATTAGCTTTAAGATTCTCAAAATCCACCATTAATTCACTTATAACCTCTAAGCTATCCACTGGAGTGAGAGTGGTTCTCTCAGGAACAATGTATTGCTCAGAATGGGTGTTCTCAGAATGAGTAGAGGAGGAAGCCATTGGAGCACTTAGGTTGAGAGAAGAAAAATGGGTTTCATAGAAAAATACACAGAAACGTTTGAGTTTTGAAAGAGAAGGTAAAAAGTGAGAAGGGTTTTTACAAAGGTATTTATATGAAGACTTTTCAGAAATAGGTTAAAAATAAAAATTTAAATAAAAAGAATCTAATCAAATCATAACAGTTACCTAGAACGACATCAATAGCTTAGCACACATGACCTTTCAAAAACACACCAAGTGTTTATCTCCTGAAGATTGCATGGGACAACTGTTTGATCTAATGAACTGCTGAACTATACTTGAAATGAAACGTTAGAACATTTCAGAACTTTACATATAGCTTATGATGTAACTTCTCTTCTAACTTCTGAAGAGTTGTTAATCAGAGCATTCATTTCAGAACATTTTGAAGTTAAGTACAGAAGATAAATATTATTTTATTCAGGACATAATTCCATACAAATATTTTTCAAAATGAATTTAAATCTATCTTCTGAAAGGGGTTGGGTAAAAATATCAACCCATTGATGGTCTGTTTTTACAAAGTTTAAATTTAAAATTCCCTTCTGAATATAGTCCCTTATAAAATGATATTTAATTTCAATGTGTTTAGCTTTAGAATGTAAAATAGGATTTTTATAAAGACAAATTGCAGAAGTATTGTCACAGAAGATATGAATCTTACTTTCATAAAGATTAAAATCTTCTAGCTGACTTTTCATCCAAATCATCTGAGAACTACATCCAACAGCAAATATATACTCAGCTTCTGTTGTTGAAAGTGCAATTGTTGCTTGCTTCTTGCTGTACCACGAGATAAGATTGTCACCCAGAAACTGGAAGCTTCCAGATGTGCTCTTTCTTTCAATTCTATCTCAAGCAAAGTCAACATTACAATAACCTACTAGTCTGAAATCTTTTGATCTTCTGTAACACAGACCCAAATTAGCAGTACCTTTCAGATACCTCAGAATTCTCTTAACAATAGTTAAGTGAGATTCTCTAGGATCTTATTGGAATCTAGCACATAAACATACACTAAATAATATATCAGGTCTAGATGCAATTAGATAGAGAAGGGATCCAATCATACCTCTGTATAGATTCTGACCTACCTTCATACTTACCTCATCTTTTCCCAGAATGCATGTTGGATGCATTGGTGTCTTAGCATCTTTGCTTTCTGAGATATGAAATTTCTTCAGAAGTTCTTTGACATACTTCTTCTGATGTATGTAAGTACCTTCTAGAGTCTGGTTGATTTGAATTCCCAGAAAGAACTTCAATTCTCCCATCATGCTCATCTCAAATTCTGCCTGCATAGTCTCAACAAATTCTTTTCCAAGAGAGATATTAGAGGTTCCAAAAATAATATCATCAACATAAATTTGACAAATTAAGATATCATTTTTAAATGTCTTTCTGAATAGAGTTGTGTCCACTTTCCCTCTGGTAAAATCTTTTTCTAAAAGAAAATTACTCAGACGATCATACCAAGGTTTGGGAGCTTGTTTTAAACCGTACAAAGACTTTTTTAATTTAAAAACATGTTCTAGATGTTTTGAGTCATTAAAGCCAGGAGGTTGATGGACATAAACTTCTTCTTCTATATAGCCATTTAAAAATGCACTTTTAACATCCATTTGATATAATTAAATGTTATTTTGAACAGCAAAAGAAATTAATAATCTAATAGACTCTAACCTGGCGACTGGGGCAAAGGTTTCATTATAATCAATTCCTTCTTGTTGACTATAACCCTGTGCAACCAGTCGTGCTTTGTTTCTGATCACCTCTCCTTGCTCGTTCAGTTTGTTTCTGAAAACCCATTTGGTTCCTATAATGTTGAATCCTTTGGGTCTTGGAACTAGTTCCCATACATCGTTTCTGGAAAATTGATTGAGTTCCTCTTGCATTGCTAAGATCCAATCATTGTCTTCCAGAGCTTCATCAATAGAAGTTGGCTCAATCAGAGATACCAATCCAAACAACGATTCTTCATTGATTCTGAGAGAGGATCTTGTTCTGATGGGATCTTCTTTTCTTACAATAATCACGTCTTCTTTATGAGCTAAAGAGATTCTAGGAAATCTTTTCTGAGTGGGTTGCTCAAAGATCCTGAGATTATCCAGAGCATTGTCAAGAGGATGATCTTCTGAGTCTTCCTTTGCTTGAGTCTTTCTTTGCTTCAGAGTCTTCCTTTGCTTCTGAAGTTTCAGAGTTTGAGGGATGATCTTCTGTACCTACAGAAATATCAATTTGCTTTGGCTGTTGCTGGCCAAGCTTATCATCAAACCTGACTTTGATTGATTCTTCAACGATTAGAGTTTCTGTGTTGTATACTCTATAGCCTTTTGAGCGATCAGAATATCCAAGCAGAAAACACTTTTGTGCTTTAGAATCAAACTTGTTCAGATTTTCTTTAGTGTTCAGAATAAAACAAGTACATCCAAAAGGATGGAAATAAGAAATGTTGGGTTTTCTGTTTTTCCACAATTCATAGGGAGTCTTTTCAAGAATATGTCTTATAGAGATTCTATTCTGAATATAACATGCTGTGTTCACAGCTTCTGCCCAAAAGTGCTTAGCCATATTTGTTTCATTGATCATGGTTGGCTATTTCTTGTAATATTCTATTCTTTCGTTCTACAACTCCATTTTGTTGGGGAGTTCTAGGACAAGAGAAATTATGAACAATACCATTTTCTTTAAAATATTTTTCAAAATGATGGTTTTCAAATTCTCCATCATGATCACTTCTGACTTTTATAATTCTAAAATCTTTTTCGTTTTGCACTTGGTTACAGAAGTCAATGAACACAGAATGTGACTCATCCTTGTGTTTTAAAAACTTAACCCATGTCCATCTGCTGAAGTCATCAACAATGACCAATCTATAATTCTCGCCTCTGATGGATGCAGTTTTAACTGGCCCAAACAGATCAATATGAAGTAGTTCTAATGGCCTAGAGGAAGAAACAACATTTTTGGATTTAAAGGAAGGTTTTGAAAATTTTCCTTTTTGACATGCTTCACACAGAACTTCTGAGTTGTACTTCAGATTGAGAAGTCCTATGACTAAATTTAATTTATTTAGTTGAGAGATTTTTCTTAAGTTGACATGTCTCAATCTTCTGTGCCATACCCATTGTTCATCGCTAACAGACAAAAGGCATTTAACATTCTGAGATTTAAGATCTGATAAATCAATTTTGTATATGTTGTTCTTTCTCTTGCCAGAAAAGAGGATTGTTCCATCTTTTTGACTAACAGCTCTACAAGAATTTTGATTAAAGATAATGTCATAACCATTGTCACTTAATTGACTTATAGACAACAGGTTATGCACTAATCCTTCTACTAATAAAACATTAGAGATAAAAGGAAGGTTACCGTTTCCAATGGTTCCAGAACCAATAATCTTCCCTTTCTGATTACCTCCAAACTTGACGTCTCCTCCAGTTTTAAATTCCAGGTTTTGGAACATAGGCTTTTTTCCCGTCATGTGTCGGAGGTAAGCTCAAAGGTAAAGGCCTTCCTCACATTGCCGCCCATTCTCACTCGCCTGAGAGAAGAATTTCCACTCCCCCTCTACCTCTCAGTTACAGATCAAGCGATGATCTAAGTACTTGTCCTGGAGATAAATAAGGTAAAAATGCATGTGTATTTTGTAACCAAAGTGTTCAAAGGCGCCAAGACACGTTATCAAAAGATTGAGAAGCCAACGTTTATTGTCACTATCTAAGCAAGAAAGTTGTGGTCTTATTTCCTACGTCACAAGATACTCGTAAAAACAAACTATTATATTCGATAAGTCTTGAAAAAATATTATTAAAATATTAATAGGTCATCGAATTTCAAACATTGATCACTTTTTATATTTAGACACTATTATTAAAATATTTTATTTAATTAAAAATATGTAGGTTATTTCACTAAATATTAAAAAAGACACATAAAGAAAATTGAATTAATATTTTAGTTTAAATCTACAAAGTTAATTAATTATATACAAGTGAAAATACCGTTCTATGTCTTATAATGATGTGAAGCAACTAGCTAGCTAGCTATAAATATAAATTCAGAATCCATTTGATCTAGAATATTCCACGAGTTTGAGAGAGTAGAACAAGAAGAAACTGGAAAGACTCGCTCAAGAATCCAAAAATTTCCTTTTCTTGAGGTTTGTCTTCTCTTCTCTTCTCTTCCTTGCTCACCACGCTTCTTCCTGGTCTGCTTATTATGTTTGTGTTCTGGAATGCAGTTTTCTTTTCCCTGCTCTTCCTTGCTCACTACGTTCTTCTTTCTATGCTTACTATATTTGTATTTTGGAATTCCGTTTTCTTTTAATCGTTTTCTTTCAACTCTTTTTCTGCATTGTGCTCCCCCTCGCATCATCATCATCATATGGAATGTTTTGGACTGTAAAGGTATTTGTTGTATTAGGTTCATGGTCTTTATTTGTTCTTGAGTGAAACTTTCTTGTCTTTTTCAATACAGGATGACTGACGGTAAAACCACTGGGGAGGAAAATTTGCGGCCAGAAATAACATTTCCTCCTGAAATAACGGTTGGAATTGACATTGAGACTTGCTCATATTGTGTTGCTGTGTGGAACGGTACAGAAGTAGAGTATGCAGTAAATAAGAACAACATGAAGGCATATGACCAAGAGACGTTGATTAAGGCTAAAGTTTTCAAGATGAGGCGCTTGATTGGCCGAGCCGAAACTGACCCCGTAACTCAAGTAACTAGAAATTTGCCTTTTCAGATGTTGGCCATTGACGATGAATCTCCCTCTAGCAGTCCAGAAGAATTTCTGACATCTTATTTGAAGGACTTAAAACAACTTGCTGAGAGTGTACTGGAACGATCGGTAAGAGATTTAGTTCTCACCCATCCAGTTTCATTCAATAGATTTCAGCTAACTCGGATACATGATACATGCCGGAAAGCCGGTCTGCAAATCCTACAGATGATACCTCAACCAACAGCCGTGGCTTTCTTGTATGCACAGCAACAGCTGAAAGCTACTTCTTCTTCTTCTGATCTTAAAGGTAAGAAAACTGCACTCATTTTTAATATGGATTCAGGTTATTGTGATGTTGCTGTGATTGCTGCTACATTAGAAGGAAAATGCCGGATGAAAGCCTTGGCAGGTAGTGCTATAGGTGGAGAGGACGTGATTGGAAATACGATGCGTCTTGTTATACCAGATTTTAAAAACAAATTAAAAAAGAAAGGAAGAAATAAGAAACTCAAATCACTTAGAGTAGAAATACTGAAAGTAATTCATGGACTCAAGGACAAGAGAAGTGTTGAGTTTGATTTAGACTTGGGAGATGGTCGGAAGATACGAAAGGTTGTAAAGAAGGGAGAGTTTGAGGAGGTAAACAGAGAAGTTATTTTAACTTGTGAAAGGCTAATAAGGCGATGCTTGCAAGATTCAAAGATAAAAGCTAACAGTTTAGATGATGTAATAATTGTTGGTGAGTTTGGGAATATGCTAAAGCTGCATAACCTTGTTCCTAAAAAGGGTGTTGCTATGAATCCTTTGGAAGCTGCACTTTGCGGTGCAGCAGTGGCAGGAGCTGTTGCCTCAGGGATTAATGATCCCTCAAATTTAAAGTTGTCTATTTCTCCCATCACATCTCATTCCCTCGGAATTCGAGCTAATGGGAACAAATTTGTGTGTGTCATTCCTAGGAACACTTCACTACCAGTAATGGAGGTTATGAAATTCACAACCAGTCATGAAAATCAAACTGAGGTGTTGATTCTAGTCTATGAAGGTGAGGGAAAGAATGCAGAAGAAAACCAACTTTTGGGCACTTCAGAATAATACGATTACCCCAAAAGCCAAAAGGAGTTCTTATAATTGAGGTGGTCATGGAAATTGATAGTCTAAACAAGTTGAGAATCGGTGCTGGAGTTTTCGGGCCTGTCGAGATGCCAAAGCCAATGATCGATCCCACAAAATTTTTGGATTATGAGGCACTAAATAGGATGTTTGGTGACAAAATGGATTTGGCAACTTTCGTCAAGAAGAAATAAAGTCATGAACATGTGCCGCATATTGTTTGTTATCTGTTTTAGCTGTTATGTTTCTTTTGTGTTTCAACAGCAAGTAGCTGATATTGATGTTAGCTGTTATGTAACATGATGTATAGAAATTGTCCAAAATATAACACAATGTTACGTTATGTGTCTATTTCACAATGTTAGGTTATGTTTCTATTCTCAGTAACAGCACTAGCTGAACTGTGCTTCAACTAAAGGAATTTCGAATCTGAACCTAAATGACACATAATAGGAGTAGAATTTAAAGCTAATTAATCAATGGTTTTTATGTGGGTATTCATTTGAAGCATATTCTTGATATGAACATGGTTGATGTTTTTTATTGTTGTTTGGAACATGTTTAATATGTAGTATCAATGAAATCATTGGATAGATTAGCATTAACGACATGTTAAGCAAGGAAGTCTATAGGACAAGATTAACTTCAATATTTAGCAAACTGTTTGAGATGTTTTGGCGATAATAGGAGCTTCATATGCTAATTTTAAAGCTGCTTGGAGTGCACTTTGAATTTCTTTGGTCGAATTTTTAGCAAAACGGTTTGAGATGTTTTGGCGATATAAGTCCCTTGTCGAATTTTTATCAAACAGAATTGCTGCATGTTGCATGGTGTCTGTTCGATTGATCCAGAAATCACATGGTCCAACGGTTATAAAATTTATACCATAATTCTATAAAACTTAATTTAAATTTAGAATTTAGAAATGAGATTTTAGTTCTCCAATTGTTATTATAATATTTAGATTTTAGGTTTTCTTTTTAATTAAAAGTTAGTGTTTGCGTGAGTTGGACTCCTAAGTTCATCAGAGATTTAGGGTTGCCTCAAAACTCAAACAGAGATAATGAGATTTAAACTCAAGATATTTTAGTGTGTGAGTTGATTCTTGTATCATCTGAGTCAATCTTCTTTTGCATCTCTAATGATATATATAATTGTAATATAATTTTGAAAAAACACAGAAAATTATGCATTAATCCTAAAGTTTATTTATTCAATAGAAAATGTTTAAGACTACAATACATCTTTCATGCATCATTCTAATTTGATGATACCTTAAAAATTTCCTACAATTTCTTTTCACCTTCAACCTCCAATCTATGCATACACACTAACAAATCACACATAATAATCTTTTGATGGGGTTCCATCTAGGCGAGATTCAATAACGTCCAATTAGGTTCTTGTGTAGCCGAGAATATTGGATTGAGATTTGCAGGGGTCTTCATCCAGAAAAACCGTAGATTTTGTCCTCTAAGATCATTGGTTGGTTTGGGAGTTTTCGTGCAAGACGTTCACGAGAAGATTGTGGCCTAGTGAACGTCTTTGGACATAAAGAACGCAAATGACCCTTTGGAGATAAAGAACGCAAAGGAAGTAGCGCGAGAACGACATATCAAGTTGAAGTCTTGTGTTGTAATAGATGCAATTGATGGTGCACGGATGCTTTGGAGATATAGTACGCAAAGGAGTAGCAAGATCCAGATAATCAATTGGTAACTATTGTGTTTTGGTCTTTCTCAAAATCAAAGGAAGATAAGGGGTTAAATCAACAAGAAACATTAGGGTTTGTGGAGTTTCTCTAGAAATACTTCTCTTGTATCAACTTTTTGCATAGTAAGAATTATCTTAATTTCATTAGAATTAGGCGCAGATGTAGTCACACGCGAGGACGAAAGTGGGAATTGTGAAGACAAATCCTTGTGTCTCTTTTCTTTTATCGTTTTACTTGCTTTAATTTTCATATATCAATTTGTCAAATATTTGAGTAATCGATCGACTAGTAGGAATTTTCCGGAGCTGTTTTTGTTTTGAACTGCGTGTTGATTTGTTTATAATCACTTTTGATTATAAGTGTTTTTTCATATCAACAAAACTCAAAGGAAAATTTGGTTGCAAATCAAGTATTCGACAAAATTGTTTAGTTTGTCCTTTTGTTATTTATCATTGAAAACTGTGTGTTGATTTGATTATAAGTGTTTTTTCATATCAACACAACTCAAAGGAAAATTTTGAAAAATTCGGTTGCATATTAGGTATTCGAAAAATTGTTTAATTTATTCTTTTGCTAGTTATTATTGAAAATAGTATTGCTAGTAACTTACTACAAACGTTAAATAAGTTGTTACTTGATTGAAGTATATAAATTCTAGATTATTGTATTCATTCCATAATTATTCTTAATATTTGCATATCCAACTTCCAATAACGCGGTTCGTATAGACGACAATTTTTGAAAGCCTATCGTGTGCACTCTTTTCTAATCAACTTTTAAAACCTGAATTTTATCTAGATTTTTTTGGCTTGATGATCTATTCACCCCCACTTCTAGATAAGGCACCGTCGTCTAAGAAGTGACATCAATATCCCAGTTAATTCTGGCTTCGAAAATTATTAGAAAATGGTGTATGAATCTAAAAAGGATTATAACAGAGTCCCAATTTTCACGGGAGAAAACTACAGTTAGTAGAAAGCTTCTATCAAATTCATGTTAATTCACATGACAAAGGTGTGTGGCAAGTCATTCAAAATGGTCCAACACCGATGACATATGAGGTTGATTGTGCTACTATACCAAAATTGGAAAACTTATGGAATAAAGATGATAATAAGAAGTGGACACATGATTGGAAAGTGAAAAAATTATCATATTTGCTCTTGGTGTTGATGACTTTTATCACATTTCGCATTGTGAGACTGCTAAAGCTATGTGGGATCTCTACGAGTTACCTATGAGGGAACTAATGAGGTCAAACAATCTAGGATTAATACACTTAATCAAGATTTTGAACTCTTTCGCATGAAGCATGGTGAAACCATTGCTCAAATGCAAAAGTGGTTCTCGCATCTTATTAATCATTTGAATTTGCTAGGTAATCCTATTTCAAATTCTATTTCTACTAACAATTTTTTGAGATGTCTTACTAGGAATTGGCAACTAAATGCCACCACGATCAAGAAAGCCAATAATCTTGCAACACTTGATCTCACCATATTGTTTGGAAAGCTGGAAGAACACGGGCAAGAACTCAATTGCTTGGATAAACATGAAAATAAGCTTGATAAAAAGAAGAAAAAGGATAAAGATACCGATAAGGAGGAAGGATTAAAGTCTAAATCTCTTAGGGTTTCAAGCTCAAAGTCCTCAAAGGATGAGAACACTAATGATAATGAATAATGAATAAATGCGATTATTTGTAAGGAGATACAATTGATACATTCGAAAGGTTGGTGTCAAACACTCCGACAATAATCTTGTGAAATTTAGAAGACAATCTACATCCCCAAAAGATGAAGACACCAAAAGATATAAGGCAAAAGATATATGCTATGAATGTGAGAAGTCAGGTCATTATAGACCAGAGTATCCATCTCTTGCCAATAAGAAAGGAAAGGGCCAATAAAATAATTCTAGAAACTCTAGAAAAGCCTTTGTTGATTAGGATACCGATAGTGATACCTCAAGTAATGAAAGCTCAAGTGATAGCGATGAAGAGGCAAATTATTGTTTCATGGAAAATCAACGCCAAAGCAAGAAAAAGAATATAAGTCATTCTAAATACTCTAATGTTGATAATTTGTCTTTTATCCAATTGAAATATGATTTTGAAAATCTACAAATAGAAGCATTACATGCTCATAAGAAATTAACTTCCAATGAAAAAGTTTTTACATACTTGGAAGTAAAGGTTGAAGAATTCAATAATAAATTTGAAGCATTAAAGCGATCTATTGTAGATTGTCAAAATTATAAAAATGAGGATGAGAAACCTTGTGGGTTTGGTTGTGAAACTTGTCAATTTTGACAATAATAAGTGAGTACTCTTGAAGCCCAAGTGGACAAGGCATCACAACCTCATGATATTTTTGGCTATTGATTCTCCAAAGGTTAAAAAGCCTCACAAAAATTATAAATTGATCAAGAAGGATTCAAATAGAAATAGTAAACCTCATCATAGGTTGTTTTGTCACCATTGTTGCAAGAAAGACCATATTATTGAAAAATGCAAATTTAGATGCTTTCTAGTCCCTAAAGGCAATTTCAAATGGTTGCCCAAATGAAAAAAATATTTCACTCACTCCAAAGTACCCAATGAGAATTGGGTACCTACCACTTTTGTTTGATTTTTATAGGTTGATGTAGCGGTAAAAATCGGAGATCGAGCTATTAATTAACTCGACTCGCAAAAGTAAAAGTCGTCACCACGCTTTATTATTTCTAAGGGAAAAGGGAAAAGTGCGAAATAAAATCCTTAAATATGCAATATAAAGTAATACTTAAAAGTAATGAAAATACATGCATTTTTGAAAGAGATCGAAGGTTCGGGGGTTGGTTATACAAAGGGAAGGTACTAGCATCCAATGCATCTGCGGTACTTCACATGAACCTTTTGAAATATCTATTTTTGATTAAAATTATTTGTTTGGTTAAAATGGGTGTGAATGAGACTTTGAAGATACGACGACCTAGTGTCGAAGTTTTATCTTAAAAGGAGTGTGAGTTTTAAAAATTGAGTTTTTCAAGAGATTTAACCAAAGATTAAAAAAACCAAAAAAATGTATGAAGGGGTTTCCCACAATCATATTAGATGTATTTGATGACATGAAGTCAACGAAGTTAAAACATTTCTCTTGGAATAAATCGAGCAAGTAAAATAAAATGAACATCAAAATATAAGCATTCGAAAATTTACAAGAAAAATAAATCTAACGAAACAGATTAATGACCAAAAGACACCGAAAAATTAAAATGACAGAGATATTTAAACACAAATAAAAGAGAATGTAACTAATTATCTAAAGAAGTTATTTGAACTAAATTAAAAATTAATATTACTTACTAAAATAATTCTAAACTAATTGCAAATTCTAAGAATATAAAAATAATTCTAAAAGTACTAAATTAGACCTAAACAAAATTAAAATTTTAAGGTTATTAAAAAAATTCTAAAATTACTAAATTAGATCTAAACTA